CGCGCCTCCTCCCTCAGTGAAGGCTCCCGAAGACTCGTCGGGAGGCCCGAGGCCTGCCGAGCCTTCTGAGGAGGCCCGCCCCCTCTCCGTTCCCCCCTTTGGGCTCGCCGTCGATCCGGGCCCCCCCGCGGATGTCCCCCCCCCCTGGATTCCTCCCTGGACTCCCACTCCAGGCATTGGGGAGGATCCCTTGCCATCGAGCTCGATGGCAAGGGGGAAGTCCCTGACATCGCTAAGCAGAGGGCAGAGGGATCCCTAGGGTGCTCGATGGCAGAGGGATCCCTAAGAGCATCACTGGACGCGTGATGATGACGGCGTGAGCTGGGCTCGTGGGACAGCCACTGTGCAAGCAGCCTGGCGGGGCCACAAACTGCAAGGGAGCAGCAGACCAACACGAAGCGGGACAGACAAGAGGGCGAGGGGAGGAAAGGTTTGCTGTTAGGACCAGGCCAGCAATGCATTGCCTCAGCCAGTCGTCAATGAGAGAAAAGTGGACGGGCGGGAGCACTAAGGAGGTGTCCCAAGCCCGTGACACCTTCCGTCCAGAGCCCCCTCCAAGAAGGCGTCACACTCCCACTGTAAGAGGGAGCGGGACGGCTCGCCCAGAGGAGGAGGAGGAGGAGGAGGAGGAGGAAGAGGAGGAAAAGGAGGAGGAAAAGGAGAAGAGAAGAAGGAAAAGAAAGAAGGAAGGAGGTGTCCTCCGATAATCCCGGCGAGTCGTCCCGCTCCTCCACGCCAAGCTGCGCCTGGGCGCGGCGCCCCGGCGGCTGAGGGGCGGGAGAAAAGAGAGCCTCGGCGCGACAGCAACACGGGGATGAGATTCCTGTGGAGGGCATGCGTGTCACACGCAATACGATGAAATGCAGCGCAGTGCAGTGCAGTGCAGAGCACGTTGCAGCACAGCAGCGCACGGCACCGCATACCTGGCACATCATGGCATTGCATCGCACTGCCTCGCACTGGACGGCACGGTACGGCTTAGCCTGGCATGACATGTCCGAGCACGCTGCAGCATCGTGTTGATAGTTTGGACAGCTTCGCGCAGCCTGCATGACTTGTATAGCCTGGCATGGTACAGCAGGAGCAAGACTGGCATAGCATTGCATGGCATTGCATTGCTCATCATGCCATGTCAGCCAAGCGTAGCGTTGCATGGCATAACGTAGCATGGCATGATATGGTATGGCATGGCATGGCATGGCATGGTGTAGCATGGCGTTGCAAAGCATCGCATTGCCGGGCAAGCCATAATATCGCATTGCATGCCATAACATGGCAGCGCGTGACATTGCATGGTACAGCAGCACATGGCAAGACGCAGCAGTGCACACTATGGAGTAGCAAGTACTCTGAATTGCACAGCAAGGCCTTGCATGGTATTGCATTGCATTGGAAAGTATAGCCTTGCATAGAGCAGCATCGCTTAGCCAAGCATGTCATAGTACGGCGTAGCATTGCATGGCATAAGACGCAACAGCATGACATTGCGTAGCATGACTTGTTATAAGACTGCATTGAATATGATGGCATGACAGAGCATTGCATACATCGAGATGGTGATGGGGCCACTACTAGCGCCGTATCGCCGACGACGCTTTGGTATTGCCCCGTTTGGCCCGCTCTGGAAACATGTTGACATCTCTGGCGTACGCATTTTGTACTTCTACCAGCTTCCACCAGCTTTCCGCCAGCTTCAGCAAGCAAGATAGCCATCATTCTCTGTGCGTCGCGGACAATCACTGCAGAAACAAATAGAGAGTGCACATGCGATCATTGGCGGGTAGGTGAAATACGTGTTGACTCTCTTGCTGGCTTGGCAGGTTCACTTAGGGAAGGGCGAGGAATGAAAAGGAAGGAGGGAGAGGGCGGGCAAAAACATGTCTCTCGATGCGCGTCCCGGCCAACACTCTCGAGGCCGCTCAATATCACGAACTGTTCCGCTCGCAGGACCAGGACACCAGACTCCGGGCAGAATCCCGATCGGATGTGGGGGTGGCCATAGTCTTCACACTGTCGCGAAGATCAGAGCGCAGCGAGACTCCGACAGCCACGACCCAATACCTCCTAACAGTAAATCGTTGCATGGTTTATGGAGGCATAAACGCGTCAATACCATGGAGGGGGCAAGCAGGTTGCAGCAGCAACGTGTCGGTGACCACTGCTAGAGAAAGACTTCACCGTGTACGACAATTCCAATCACGATGATAGTAATGGTGATGATGGTGGCGGTGGTATTGTAGTGATGATGATGCTGATGGTGGCAGTGATGATGATGGAGGTGGTAATGGTGGTGGTGCTGATGGTGGTGATGCCTTGTGTTGGCGGACCTATGGCAAGAAGGATCAACAACCGATAAAGCGCAGTGTCCTGGCACGCAAGTTAAAGCCATACTAAATATATACATGTGTATATATATATATACATACATACAGTCGGCCAGTACAAAACACGGTATCTGGCGCACAGGAAGCCATACCAACATTGTGTTGGGCGCCAAGTGCAGCAGAGCACGCAGAAGGGGGGTGCTCTGACGATGATGGTGATGATAATGATGATGATGATCTTTATGATATGGTGGTGGTGATGACGATGCTGATGCTAAAGCTGATGCTAAAGCTGGTGCCGATGCAAATGTGGATGTTGATGCTGATGCTGATGCTGATGATGATGGTGGTGGTGATGGCGATGACGGTGGCGATACCGGAAAGTACGAGGATGGCGATGACGATGGCGATGACGATGCTGATGGCGACGACGACGACGACGATGATGAGTATGATGATCATCATCATCATGGTGGTGATGGTGATGGAGATCGTGATGAGAAAGGTGGTGATGATGGTGATGGAGATGATGATGGTGATGATGATGACGACAATGATGATGACGACGACGATGCCATTACTGGTGATGGTGATGATGGTGATAATGATGATGAATATGATAATGATAATGAGAATGCTGATGATAGTGATGATGATGATGATGATGGTGATGATGATGCTGATGGTGATGCTGATGATGACGACAACGACAATGATGAAGATGCTGTCGACAACGACAATGCTGATGATGATGATGATGATGATGATGATGATGATGATGATGATGATGATGATGATGACGATGATGGTGGTGCTCAAGCGCTGTCCGCTGGGTCACCTGCTTGCGCACCGTCCGCCGCGCCGCCCGCAGTTCCGTGGCCACGGGCGGCCCGCCAGGCCTTGTTGCGCAGCTCCGCCTCCTCATCGGCCAGCTTGGCCTCCTCTGGCATCGAACCGCAGAGCAGCAGCATCAGCAGAACCCATCGGCTTCGGCGTCGGGCCCCGACGTCCTGAAATGACGCGCCCGCTCATTCGCGCGAGCCCCATGGAGGCCCACGCGGATCTCTGGAGCCACTCGAAGTTCTCCGATTCGGAAGCCGAGGGGGGGGGGGGGGCAGACCGGGGGTGGACAGAAACCCCGGTAGCAAGACATCCTTTGAGGAAAGCGGCTTGGGGGCCAGATCTCGCGGACGCAGGCCCGCAAAAGAATGGCGGCTGCAGCACCCTCCCGAGAGGCGAAAATGGAGCCCCCACAGGGCGGATTCGCTCATCGACCTGGCAGCGGGAGGGTTTCCGTCAAACCCCGAAGTTTGCAAAGGCTCCAGGCCTTCAGGCACTCGCTCCGGAGGCATCGTCGCTGCAACTGCCTCATCCGAGGCGCCAGGGCCTCCGGGGAGGCGCCCACTAGCCACTGGGGGGGCACGCGGCCTGTGGAGTAGCCGGCGGCCAGCATGGAGTTCCTCTTGAGGTTTGCGGCCACGCTCCTGGCACAGACGCGGTAGTCCTTGTCCCCCCAGGAGAGGTGGGCACCGAACGGACAAACAGGCTCGGATCGGAGCGGGCATCGAATCGGACCACATCGGCACGGAGGCACGGGTTCGCCTCGCCTGGGGTTTCGCTTCGCCCGTTCCGCTTCGCCAGGGGTTCGCTTCGCCAGGGCTCACTTCGCTGGGGCTCGCTTCGCCCGGGGTGCGCTTCGCCGGCAGCTCGCTTCGCCAGGGGCGGACGAG